CAATGTAAGGCAAAAATTGATTGATAATTTAGATGAACTTAGAGATAGATGATTTAATAGAAAAATATAGGAGAATGTTAAATAGATCCAAATTTTTACTAAATCAATCCACTCATTTTAACCACCATAAAATTAAAAATGACCTTTAGATTAACTTTTCTACTATTAGATTTACAACCAATGACAACCAACCACATTGATCAAGATTACAACATTCTTTTTCATGGGTGGGTTGAATTAGGTAAAGCATGCATATATTTAATATAAACACAAGTATGGACGGAATAACTGCCACAACTATATTATATATGTATGTATGTGTGTGAATATATATGTATATATATATATATATATATATATATCACATTGAATGCTATTAGAATTAATTCTTAGCTTCAGTGATTTCCACAAACTTGTGTGAATATATTGGATATTTTTCAGCTTTCTTCTAATTCTGTAAATCTTGAATCTCAGTTTTATATGTTTCTCAGTAAGTTGGTGTTGTATAAATTTATTTCTTGAATCCTAAAAAATAACCATACTTATATTTATATATATATATATATATATATACAATGAATTTATCAGTGTGTACTTTACCGTAAATGTCCGGCAGGATCTAGTTGCTGATGACAAATGTTATTATTATTATTATTTAATTGCACAATAAAAGAATAAAAAATAAAAAAGGAATAAAAAGTGTTAGCAATATCTATTAAAAACTATGTATATTATACAGTTCCTTAACAACCTTGTGACATTTGTGTATGATATTGTTTTATCTTTTTCTATTTTAACAAAAAATGGTGTCTATATTTAAATATGTAATATTCTTCAAATGGTCTATTACTATATATCAGTTTTCAAGTATATTAATTTCTGTATGTATTTTGTGGTGTGTATATGTTTATATATACATGTGTGTATATTTTGTAAAACGGCAGTGCCATATTCCAAATAAACCTTGGTTTTTCAAGAGATGGGTTTTTTATAATTCGTGAACCAGCTTCAATTCAATATTGATTAAGTTACAATTACCCTCATTTTGAAGGGTTCCTATATTTAAATTTGGATTACAGCATTTCAAATAACTACTGTCTGAAAATAACTCAGTAGTGTTATTTTTAGGGGTTTGTTAGCAAAAAATTAACAAAGTTTTTAAATATCTGATTATTCTTTTCAAATTGTTTTTGAAAGTTCACATGTAATGGGATAAAGTCGAACAATGTTCACAATAGCATGAAATGTGTTCAAATACTAAAACTATGGTTTATGGTTTTAAAAGAGATTTAGAGCTTATATTTATTTTTTCTGGATTCTACACACAGCTCTTGCACTAATTTTCATTGCTTTAAGTGAAATTCGTTTATTTTTTGGATTTCCAAATTAAACTTTGTGATAGATCCAAATGAAATATATACACACTCACAATATATTTATATTTATTTTTTTGGTACTTCACATCTAATTTACGATAGTTTTTTTTTTTTTTTTTTTTTTTCTTTTCTTATTTTAAGAAGTGGAAGATCAATAATCAATATTGTAAGACATATGACATTACTTTACTCCCCATGCAAGGTTTAGTCACGAACCATATATTTCTGAAGGCATGTTTTCAGTATCACACTAATTTATGTAATCTTATCATACATTTGTTTATCCTTCAATAACTGTTGCAACTGAAACTCAAATTCTTACTAATATGATTGGAATATTTTAAACTGACACATTAATTGAAAATTTGTAGAAAAAATAATTAAAAAATGAGTGTTCAAATAGCGGCCTAAGATTTTTCAACCGTCATTCATGCAAAACATTACACCTTCCTTTAAAAGATGCCCAAAATCCAATGCAACCTCATGCATCCTTTCAAAATGCATAAGGCAGTAGAAGAATGCCAAACTCTAATACTCCATATTAAAATCTTTAAAAAATCTTAAAATTCACTGCTAGTACAATATGTTTTGAAACACAAATAATTATGATTTTGAGGAGAATATTTCCTTGTTGTGACTTTTTTTACAGTTAATCTTTCAAACCATAATTTTATGCTCTAGGCCAATTGATATTCTAAGAACCTGTTCACCTTCTACAATCCAATTGACATGTGAACATATATTTTATAGTGCCACATGACAACTTGATAAGCCACTACAACTGTATGGAGACTTTGGGCCACTGTAATATTCACAAGATTTTTACATTTTTTACTGCATTGTGCAAAAAGTCAATGTACAATTTAAAGGATTTTGAAGTTCCCATCTTCAGTTTCTGAAAATCCAGTCCTATCAATGTTTTGTGAATAATGTAGTAAAAATAAACCTTGTTTGACATAGTTCACTGCAATAAATAAATAAATCACAATATACATTTATATATATATATATATATATATATATATACTGGCCCTTGCTTTTATAATAGACACAAAACCATCTCCATAATTGGTGCACAAAAAATGTGTCTAATTTCAAATTTTCAAAATAATGTGAAAAATTATAAAATAATATTTTTGTGAAGGTGATAACTCAACGTTTCATCTCCTCCACAAATACCTCCCCAAAGAATCAATCTTTTTTGTGCTTTTAGTTATTTACATAGCCATGATAAGAAGACTGTTATTAATCATTGTATTATTTAAACCTTAATTAGCTCAATAGTCCATTGCTGTATTCAATTCCCTCCAAATTCTTAGTGAAAAGGGAAGCTTAATGTTAGACACCAAAAATGGAGGTAATATCTTCAATGGATGAATGGATGTTTTAGTGAATGGATTTGTGGATGAATGCATGTGCCATCTATAATTAGGGTATGTTCATGCATGTGTGCATATGGGAGAAAAAATTTATATATAGATATAATGTATATTTTATTTATATATGTGAAGGGCTTCTATATTGGGAGGAATTGTGATGTGTTCACATGTGTTCATGCATATGTGTTTACATGTGTGTGGGTATGTATGTGTATATATATATATATATATATAAATTGTATTTGAAGTGCATTGTATCTTGGGACAAAATAAGTTAGGAAAGGAATGTTTCTTCTTTTGTCAAAGACATAGATCCTTTTACACATAGCATGTTATATTCTTAGGCACAAAGATTCTGCTTATTCCTTGTCAAGTTGTTTGTACTTGAAAATACTCATGCAATCTAACTATGTTGTCCAAAATAATTGGTTCTTTGTTGGAATCTATTTCCATCTGAAATACTGAATAACCATAACAATTCTAAAGTAATGTGTTTTCCAAATTTTCAAATGTTAAAAGTCTTTTCATATTAGGTCTATATTATTTTTGTTTCAAAATTTATAATTGCGAATATTGCAACAAATTAATGCAGCTTTCGCCCTTTTTTTTCTTTTAATATATATATCAATTTTAGGAGATTAAAAATACACACATTAAACTTGTACAATCTATAGAGAGATTATTTATAAAAAATAGTAAAATACAAAGTTTGCAGTTGATGAGGCTTCAATGTTATGGTGTTGATCATACAAGTGTGGTGGAGTGCCACTCATGCTCATGTAAAGTAAAAACATATTCCAGCAATATACATATATGTATGTTCCAAATCTTTTATTTAAATTAGGCTCAAAATAACACAAAACACATTAATGTTTATTACATGACTTTTCCTGAGTATAATGCACAATCGTCACAATAATGGTGTGTACAAAGTTGTCAAAAAACTGAATAGTAATCAAAACATGGTATCACAATAACACTACTTTTGAAGATTACTTACAAAGAAGAAAGGTTATCACACAAAATAGCTTCTGTTCAAAAATCTTAGAAAGATCTAAACATAGCAAGTAACTTTTGAAGTTAAATCACTTGTAATACTAGAGGAGTTTTTCCTGATCCATAGAAAATTGATCAATTCATAAGCAAATTTAGGTTTTCTTACAAATTTAAGCAAGATAAGTGCAAGAATTAGTATTAAACTTATATTTTTTTTTAAAAAGTACTTCAACAAAGAAAGGTAATGAACAATTAGACAGAACTGGGATGGAGAAAGATGGGAAGGAGAATGCAAAATTAGAATATCTATGTAGTCCAACAAAAGGGCCAATAAATCTCGAGTGTATTAATGTTTTCACATGGAATAACTAGGGAATGAACCTCCTCCTCCCAAAAAGCAAGAAAATCAAATATCCTTACTTCCAATTGCTAGGAAATGGGGCCTCTTCCACATGGAAAAGGGAAGAAAAGTTGTTTGTTCTTTGTTCCTATCTTGGTGGCAAGCCATATTAATCAATAAGTCAAATTAAAATAAAATTGAAAGTCCTGCTACCCAGTTCGTACAAGAATCCTCGATGAGATCAAATACCATCTTGTGGGGCAAACCCAGGTACAGAATCCGGGAAAGAAACAAAATTGAAATTAACAGGAAGAGAAAGATAAGGTACTAATGTGAATAATAATAAATAATAACAATAGGACGCATGTCCACCAACTTACACAGCACTACTGCTCCCCTCCGCTGCGTAGTGGACTCACTGTTGTGCACACGAATCAAATAAAAACGTTAATCAAATCTAATATCATCTGCAGCATCGACACCAGTGGGCTATCTACAGAAGCTCCACCACGAAGACGTGACTCGTCGCAGGCCCAAGTTTGATTCTGGTCGCGTTAGGATCCAAAAAGTCAGAATTGTCATTTATATAAATATAAACTGTATGATTATGTATATTTATGTAAAAAGCTTTATTTATACAACACGGTGAGAACCCGTTGCAGTCAACAGGGGGCGCAGCAAGTTGGCAAAGATCCGATGCAAGAGTGTTCGGAGGAGACATGGATCGAACGGCTGCCGTCATTGGGTGTGGGAAGACGTAATCGCGATGAAGAGTGTGGAGGTGGGGGAGGGGACGGAGTCGATGAATTATGGACGGAATGGAGGAGTCGGCTAGTATGATATGCATCGTAAGATCCCAAATCTGCCAAATGATACCTTTCCTATCTGGACTGCTGGGAGAGACCCCCCAGGATCGGCCCCATTCTGATGCGCCTCCGCGTCTTCAAAAGGATCCCCGACCTCGCTTACTTCAACTCCATCGCATCACATCCACCATCACTTGTCCCATCGCTAACTAGCCTAACCAGCTAGCAAGCGCCTGCGCGGCCCCGGCGATGAACAGTGTCCCATTGCTGTTCGATCGCACATCAGAACTCTTTTCTAAGGGATCAGCCTTGCTGATCGGTTTTAACCATTTTTATTTTTTATTTTTTTTCCCTTTTTCTTTCATAACTTTTTTTCCTTTTCCTTCTCGAAACCAACCTGTGTCTTGTTTCGCGTAGTCGACACCCTCTGATTGCCAGCAGCTAGAAAGCTCCGCGACCGTGGATTGTTAGCAACCGTCGCGGTGTACGAAGTGAGCAGATCAGTGATTCATATTCTCGTTGGAATTCCGAGTGGGATAGTGAGAGACCAGGGCAGCGGCTTGGGTTCGTTCTAGTTGTGTCATTTGTGTGCTTGCCACTGTTTGATGGTCAGTACATCGCCTTAGCTTGCAGTCCGCGTGTTGATTTTTCCTTAAGCGTGCTAGGTTACTGCCCTCAAGGCGGATTCGCTATGCAGAACTGAAAACTAAATTAACACATTCAACAAGCTCAGCATGAATCGTATCTTCTTCTACGCAACCTGGGCGGAGGCTTTCAGAAACTCCTAAAGTGTTCGTCGAAGTTGCGCACTGTTTTTTGCTCTCCCTGCGAGTACTCCACATTGCCCAGAGATTTATTTTAGCTTCGTTACTTTGGGCTGCCGTTCTCCTACTCATCCAAGGTTAGAGATGCTAGAATAGAACACTAGAGAGTAGACTAACTGCAACTTTTTCGTATAATACCTGGACCTAGTGAGATCGAAGTCTTCAGTACAGGTCTTCCAACTGAGTTACGAATGCTTGTGACCAGAATCACAGCTTTGAACTTTAGACTCTGAAACAATTGCATTCTAGTGCATCAACATGTAACGGCAAAATTTTGGGCTTGAGCTCAAGGCTTTAACTTGTCAACTATCTGGTTGGAGACAAGGTGTGTTGTCAGTCAAATTTGTAGAGGTAGTAAGCGGGAGTTGGAATTGAGGAAGGAGATGCAATAGTACCCAAATTGGTGAGCTGATATTTGTGCGGAAGCGATTACTATTATCAACCAACATGCCAGTTGCGCAGCCTTTACACCCGTCGCATCACAAGTCGCTCATGCACGAAGCTCCAAACCATTTTAGAACACTGGCGCCGAGGAATGGCCTGCACCGAGGGCAAAGCGACAATTACAGTGGGTTGCGTCCAGAAGCTGTGAAATCTAACCTGCTAAGAGGCGCTAGCGCTGATTTGTCCGAGTTCATTTGGCCCAAGGACCAATGGCCCTCCGTGTCTCACAACGACTTCCACATGGCACAAGAGTTGCCCACCGTGGACCTCTCAGACCTGCACCATGGCTCCGAAGAGAGCCGAGAGGCGACAGCAAAATTGCTAGTGAAGACGTTCTCCGAATGGGGATTCGTGCAAGTTATCAACCACGGGGTGCCAACGGAGGTCATCGAGAAAATGCAGAACCAAGCACGGAATTTTTTCGATTTGCCACTGGAACAAAAGGAGAAGGGCGTCGCGTCTAGCACCAGCAAGCACGAAGGCTTTGGTTATGGCGTTGAAAGTGGGTTCTACTACGCTGGCAAGCCGTGGATCGATCGGTTTCAGTGCCGATGGAGCCCCGTGTGCGAGATTCGTGAGCCCGTCGAGAAGGTGTTCAGCCCCACTGACGCCGAGGAGTTTAGGTACAGATTTCTGGCATTGTTGTGCTCCTCCCGCTCGAAATTAAAACCCGTTTACTTTCTTGGCTACGTGTTCGATGTGACACATGTTCTCTGAAGGTTGCCAAGTATTCTACATCGATCCCGCACATTGTCACTTTAACACTACAAATTATTTTCTGATAGTTCAACTCATTTAATCGTGGATTTCTAACACTGTATGCCTATCGCGTATTCATATCATGCAGCACCAGCATAGAGGACTACAATGGCCGACTGGACAAGCTTGCAATGCAAATTTTGGAACTAACCGCACAGGGTCTCGGCCTTCCCTCTGACACGTTCATCAAGCCCTTCAACGGCACAGCTGGTGACTGCATTGCCCGCATGAACTACTATCCACCGTGTCCACTTTCCTCTCTTACTCTGGGACTCGGTGCTCATACAGACCCCAACCTCTTGACCATACTGAGCCAATGTAAAGTCGGCGGATTGCAAGTCTGCAAAAATGGCACATGGATTTCAGTGAAGCCCAAACCCGACACGCTCATTATCAACATCGGAGACACTTTTGAGGTAGAAATGCTTGCTTCTTTCTGTTATTCGTTTCATGTTTCACAAGGGCGGATGATGTAGAGCAAACGAAGGTTGTGTTTCCATGGCGCTACTCAGTCACCAACAAACCTCGATAGCTTGGTGAATCATTTCGAATTTCGGTATCTTAGATACAAGCTCAGAACTGGATCGTTTTCTTTCTCGATCAAGAAGGATGGTCACTGTGGATTGGTTTGTTCAAGCGGGTGGAGGCCAGTAGCGATTCGATGCTTGTGAGAGTTGCTTGTGGCCAAGTTGCGATCTGCAAACTGAAACCCGCTACCCTTCGCCTGTAGACACCCTGACTGCCTGCCACCCATACCCCTCAAACATCGGCTCCTGTAGATTATGACGTGTCGACTCGTGTCAAGTTTCAGATGGTTAGGCTCCACCTGCCGCACAATGTCCGGGGAGAAATCTGAGTCTGACCAGCTAACTTTATTACTTCCAGTAACGTTCCGTGCATCTTTTTGGCCTAACTCAGTTAACGCCTCTGGCTAGTCTAAATGTAGAGAGTTATCGAGAGTTGGGTTTGTTTCCCTCTTTAGTGCCTTAGAAAGTCATCCACCGTGAATTGTTTCTCCTTGGATAGTAGGTCGCTGCGTATTCACACAATTCGTTTCACTGGTTGAATAGGTACAATATATTTCTTATTGTCTTGCTGTGGATGTGAGTTCGTGAGTGCCCCTCATTCTTTCCTGACGTAATAATAGAAAGAGAGTTGAGTTAGCAACTTCCTCGTAGTGGACTACTTCCACTAAGAGGAAGCGATTCTTTGGATATAGCATTTTGTGCGTGGTTGCGGTGGTGGAAGTTTGGGTCCGAGGTCACGGGATATTTTGTGCTAGTGAGCTAACTTTGCGGAGAGGAGCAAGGTTGGTAACATTCTCGGCCACGAATAGGGTGGATTGGTTTCATGTCCACGTAAGAAGACAGCCATGGATGCACTTTGGAGTGCAATGTTGGCCTCGTTTCCCTGGGCCCACTGGTTATCTTTATAGCCTGCAGCTTCCTGTCGATCAAATCTAGTTCGGCAGCTGTCGATGCTTCTGTCGATTCAACGCACTCTTGCTGATTTTCTCAAATATAGTATCCATACCTTGGTTGCCTTTCCAACGTCGTCCGAGGCATTCCAGTTGGGCAGCCCGCGAGCAGGTCCTGCGAAACCTCCAGGCAACCTCCATTCGTCTACCACTTGCTGGTGTGGATCGCATCTTTGACTTGTGATTGTGGTTCGGAGTGGGAATCGAGAAGATCGTTGTCGCTCTGTGATAATTCGAATTTCAGATGAAATGAGAATTTGTTCCAACTTGCGTCAGATTAGTACTCACTTGGCAATGGCGACAAGTGGTTTTTAGAACAGTTATTTGTCCACCTTCGTCTACCAGACGGAGTTGGTCCTTTCTAGTCATGGCATATTCTCGCCACCCCATGTCATTCAGTCATGGTGCTGCTCGCACAACCAGGTTCAGTGCCCAAAACTGCAAACCTTACTGATTCTGATCATTCTGCTCTGTGGATGGTTCCAGGCATGGACAAATGGACGGTTCTGTAGTGTGGAGCACCGCGCTGTTGTGAACGAATCTGAAGCCAGGATGTCACTGGTGTATTTCGCCTCACCTCCCTCCAAGTCCGTTATTCAAATCCCGGAACAGCTCATCACCGCGAAGCATCCCTTGCGCTTCCGGCCTTCCTTCACATGGGAAGAATACAAGAGCCACTTGTTCAAGAGGCACGTTGGAGGCAACGGCGTCAAAACCTCGAAAGAATGGTTGCGATTACCCGCACCCACCTCGCACACATAAACAGCAACTGCAACTGAACACTTTCACTCTCATTCTTTCGGAACCTGATTCATTAGCACCGGTGCTTAGGAAGTGGCACATACAACTCCTCAAATCGATGAATACGAACCCATTTCGGCTTTACGGTATTTGACATGGACTACTACTCTTCTGTCTTATTTTTTAATTTTTTTTAATTTTTTCTTTTTTCTTTCTCAACTCCTTTTCCCTCACCAACCGTAGCCAGGTCCTTCATCATGCACATATTCAACTTTGTACACATGCACGTTGCTAGATTCTTGTTCCCTAGCAGGCAAGGTTCCGAAGAGCTGCCAAGCTTTTCCTCCGAGGTAGAGGCACGTACCGGTAAAAAGAAACAACTCTAGGCGATTAGCAGGGCGTCGGCACCACATGCTGTGGCTGCTGCCGCCTGTGTTCCTTCTTTTTAGCTGGTTAATTTTGGGTGACCACGAACTTATTGATCTTAATGCAAACGCTTCCACGTTGTAATCCTTCCTTCACCGAAGCTCTGTGAATCCACATTGTACTCATTCTTCTTCATTAGACTCTTAGTGTGGTCAAAAACAAAAGATTACCAAGATATCTTCATTCTTTTACAATTGGGGACTGGATTTGCTCTATGATGTTGGTTCTTTTGCATAATTTTGCCATGTTTTTTTTTTAAATTTGTTGCCGTGTGTCTGACACTCACATCTTGAGAAATATGATAGACGGAGTTAATCCTTTGTATGTTCAACAAATAAGTAAGGGACTGAACCATGAAGTTCTTCCTAAATACATCGTAAGTATTATAATACGATAAGATGTGTAGTAATAGGTTGAGTAGATGTTTAGTATCATTTTTGAAATACTTAATGTTGTAATGAGTTGAAAGCATGTGGGTATATGCTTCAAGAGTATGTTTTACCTTTGAGTAAATATTTGGGATTGTTAAGTTGAACTGCCTGAAAAAAAAACATTATAACTTTGATGTTATAAAATAAATATGCTGATTTCTAAAAATGAAGTATTTGTTTTGTGACAGGAAGTTACAGTTTTTATTTTAACTAATATTTTCTTACCACCACATACAACTGTTTTTGCCCATGTCAGCATCATGCATCAATGCGTATGACTTGATTTTGTTGCACCATATGAATAAGAAACAAAAATTGCTATTCAAATTTGTGAATCTTAAATGAATAGAATTTTTGTTAATTATTAGTCTAAATTCTCATTTCATTTAAGTTACACAAATTTGAATAGCAATTTTTGTGTTCTTGATATAAAAATACTATAAGCAAATTTATGCTCATATTATTTTAATGTTGAAGTAAATTAGAAAAGAAATATTCTTAAAAATTATAATTACATAAAATTACAATTGGTATACAGTAGAAATACAAATTTTGTTTTTAAAGAAATACAATAATTTTAAAATTTATTATAATATATTATTTTTCTGAAAATTTATAATTTATCTTTTTATTTTATATTTAAGTTTTAAAAAAATATTTAAGTTTTAAAAAAAATTTATATTCAATTTTCTACATGTGAAAATTTGAAATTTTAATATAAAATTAATATAATCCATAAGCTCTCTATACATTATTTTTTCCATATATAAATAATAAAATAAAACTTATGATTTTATATTATCATATTAGTAGATTATTTGTAACTAGATATGTTTTTGTTTAAATATATATGTTTAACTATAAAAATAAATTGCATTGCTATTTAGATCTATTTTATTAGATGTCTTGTCTTTTAAAATGGAATGATCTAATACAGATTAAATAAAAAATGTTGTATATATAAACTCATTATTTAACAGATGTTAAAATAATAGTGTGGAATGTGATAAATTATGTTAAAGCCTTTTTAGTTCTTTAACCTTGTTTGGGTCATTTTTATGTAGAAAGTTCTTTTAACATATCAATTTATAAGTATTTAATGTGAAACGTTGCCATTGTATAGACAAAAAGAAATCTTAGTATTGCAAGATTTTTTGTGTGGATGAGAAAAAAAATGTGTCATTTTGTGTGTCATTATTATCATTATTATTATCATTATTTTTAAGAAAATAATTAAGAAAAAAATAAAATTATTTTTTTCGGTTCAAAAACATATTTGTAAGGTATTAAAGAAATTTACATACAAATGTGGATGGTTTTTGAACGACTCATAAAAACTAATAAAATTTTCTATTTTTGAATTAAAATAAGTTAGGAGGGGACATTAAAATATCAAATATCTTAAGTGTAAAAATAAAATTCTAATTACAAAAATTATCAATTGATATGTTAAAATATTATGCATATTGTTCTAATGGTATGTAAAAGAGTAAAATTTTGGAAGTTCAAGTATGTAGACTTTGAAATTAAAAACCAAGACCTAGCATTGTTGAAGACAAATTTAAAATCTTAGATATGATTAAAAATAGCATATATTATGATATAATTTATGGAACCAATTCAAAATTATTGATATATATATATATATATATATATATATACATATATATTATTTTAAAACCTTGTTAAATTTTCTACAGATAGATGTATAGGATTATTGTCTATTTTGTTTGTATTCATATTTTTATGAAAAAATAATTTATATTTATCTAATATAAACTTGATACAAGGTTCTAGTTAAAAATCTATAGAGTAAGGAGATGGGTTTTACAAAAAATTAAGTAGAATCTCATTTAGATATTAATGGTAATAATATATATCTAAAAAAGATGCTACTTAATTTTAAAATAATAATTTACTACTAAAAATAATTTAAATACAAAGAAGGATTATTGAATGCAAGAGAGAAGTTAAGATTAACCATGATCTTTTTTTTAATGATAAAGAGTTTCTTTAATGGATTTAGATGCTTACAAGAAAAATATAACTTTTACATATATTTCTTATCTAAATAAGCTTTAAAAATAAATTGAAGATCATGAACTTCTTACAATGATTATCTTTTCTTGGGATATTTATTATTAATTTTTTTTTGTGTCAAATGTTTTTGCTTGATTGTTGTTTATAGATTTGAATCTGATAATTTTAGTAAGGTAAGTCTATTATAGGCTTTAATTACTTTAAGAGCAAAAACATTTTGAATACATCAGATAGTATTCTCAAAATATACAAGATGAAGTCATAATTGATATAGATTTTGTGTTTAGTTCTTGTTACCAAGTTTATTAAAACAATATAAAGTTTCTATCTATCATCTAATTTTAATTATAGTTAAAAGCTTGGATGTACCAGATTCTTATTTCTAGTAACTTTATTATATGAACTAATAGTCTGACTATTCTATATATTTTTTAGTGTTTCTGTTAAGATAATTTAAGCAGAAGTTTTAAACCTATGTCAAAATAGAATAACAGGTTTTTGTTTTTTTAATCGAATCAGAGTTTTGAAAGCTATTCTTAAAAGACATATAATTGATGAACTCTTCTACAATGTAAAAAATGAACATGTTCTTTGTTATCTCCTTACTGTTGGTTTTTATGAGATTTATTTTATTTTATACTTCTATTATTTTTAAAATCTTTTGTATTGTTTCAGTTTAACATTCTAACATATTAAGTAAAAGATATCCATTGATAAATTTATTGTAAGAAATGATTTTTTTGATAGACCAAATAAGAATTAACATAAAATTTCCTATTTTTATTGTGACGAAACAAAGTTATTGTACAATTTATAGGATAGTTTTCTAATAGATCAAGAAATCATTACTTGTATTAATTTTTTTTTGCTTTACACACATAAATTCAAATGCATTTTTGTTTCTTCCGTTCCTGTTTATTTCTAAACCCCACAGTACTCACAGTTGAATAGTACTCCTAGTGAAATTTATCTTTAAAAATAAGTATTGTAAACATAAGTCTGAAATCCATCCCTTTATTTGGTTGGTGAACTTTGACTTACAGATAAGAGTAAATGCACATTTGGTTTTTGGTATCACTATTTTATATCATTACTTCTCACAAAAGAAAAAAGAAAAAAAAACACACAATCATCAGTCAATATTAACTTTATTATCTTGCAACCAATATGGTATTTATTAATAAATATCTCATGAATAAAAAGTATGGGGCTCGTGTTGACAAATCTGAGATAAAGTTAATTAATGTCATATTAGATCTTTTTTAATGTAATATAGAATATTGAAGCTAAATTGCATAATAATACCAAACTTAATCTACGAGCATTCTAGCTTTTCCAATAAAGATGTAGTAATCACTATGGCAATTTTAATATTATTAAATTGATATTTGTGGTAAGAATTATGAAAGGTTGCTTATTTCAAGTGTTGAATAAAATATCAAAATACTTAAACAATGGTTTGTGGAGAATTCCAACATGTATGTATGTGTAAATATATATATATATATATATATATATAATTGAATTATAAAAATAATATTTGAATGGAATAAAATAAAATAAAAAAATAAAATAAATATATTCAATTGGTGGCAGGTTGTGGTGGCAATAGTAAAAAATATTTTGGCATGTGGTGGATTGCAAATTGTGGTGACAATAGTAAAAATTGTGGTGGCATTAGCAATATTTTTATTTTTTTATATTTTTTTATATTTTTTTAACATTGCTCTAACATCTAATAAAAGTTACTCATGAAACTTGTGAATGCAATTTACATATTGGATAGCATTTTTTTAAAATTATGACCAATCAAAAGCATTTCCAGACTAAAATTTAGGCCATTTTATTTTAAAGTAGAGATCTTTCATAGATTTGTTTGAATTAATGCAATATTACTGCTATATTGTTGCTTTAATACTCTAAATATCTTTTCTATACTTGTACCTTTAAAAAATCTTAGTCATAATCAATTACTAATTAACCAAATCTCATATCATATTTAAAAATTTAAACCTAAATTTGATAATCTAAAGATATGTTTTTTTATTGCATTCTCATTGTTATTTTATTTTTATCATTCACATTAGAATCTCATGATTTTTTTTTATTTTTTTATTTTATTTTTATACAAGTATGTAGTGGTTATTATTTTTGTAAGTTGAAAAAGAGAATCTGTTAATTTTTGCACATTCTAATGTCCAAGTTGCTGAAGACCCAGATGCTACTTTAGATATTTTTTTTCTGAATTTAGATGGTGCTACATTGATTACAAAATAAGTGTTCAAACCTAGATTACATTATATGTTGACTTGGAATATTCTTTAAAACATTTGTATAAGATTGGTGTTTAAATTTCATAATATTATCAATATGAGTGTCTTATATATATATTCTATAATTTTTTAGTATATATTATTTTTTATTATTTTATCAAACAAAAAAAGGAAATAAATCAGTGAAAATTTTAATATTGATACTGTTGTAGATTGACATTACAATAAAATCTGATCATATATATATATATATATATATATATTACTAATAATCCTATTAAAATAAAGATTGATACAATGATCATGTACATATATATATATATATATATATATAAATAGGACCTTATTAATATATTTATCATTGTATGAGTCGTATAGTTTAAACTACCTCAATATAAGCTCAATCACTCTTATGAGTATTCTCGTTCTGCTTTTGTCAATACTCAGTCATCCCATTATCATTTTTCTACATAGGTTTTTTATTTTTTTATTTTTTGTGTAAGAAGTATTTACTCAATTAAATACCTAAATTATCGAATTGGACCGAAATTTTCTTTTGAACCACAAACCAAGTGAAGTTTGGGGTAGTGAATCCTTATCACAATGTGTGCTATTATTGTACTTGTTGAATATTCTTATATCTGTCCACAAGAGTGATAAAGATAATTGTTTTTTTTTAGTATTTTGTAAGGAATTTGGCAAGCTAACTAACTTCAATAAATTAGTATATTTTTCCAAACATTTTAGTTTAAACTAATTGTATGGTTGGAATTATTTTCATAGTTTTTAGAGTCTTAACTTTTCTAATATTAATTCAAATTATACAAATGATCGTTTTTAAAAACAAAACTACATACAAGACTTCTGTTTATATTTACTACTTGCAAGGCTACTACATTTTTTTTGTTGCAGGTTATTTGTAGAAGTTATTGTTTTATGAGTTTGTTTTGCAAGTTACCAGTTCAATTGTTTAGTTTTTTACATTTTAAAAATGTCTAAAATTAAATCAAATTCTGGAATAGTTTAACAAAAGAAAACGTATACAACATTGTACACTCTATATTTAATAATTCAATAAGTTAATACTATATCCTATAATGTTTTTGTAAAAAAGATTTGATTAGAAATATAAAAAATCATCAAAATTTATATGACAACAAAAAATATTAACAATAATATCAAAATATTGTTTCTATATAAAAATAATCATTTCGGTATTACTTAAATTTATTTTGATAATTTCAATTATTTGAATAAAACTACACTTGTAAATTTATATTCTTTTCTCTTTCTTTTTTATTTTATTTTAAAACTTTCTTTTAATTATGTTTACAAATTTATAGGAAATCTTTCTTATTATGATTATTTAATGCACCATGTCAAGATTCACTATTTCCATACATTGTAATAACAAAATTCTAATACTCTTTAAAGTAGTAAAATAATTTCACCAAAAGGAATATATAATATAAATGATTTTTATAGTTGCACAATTTTAAAATGAAGTTGTAAAACCTTGTTAAAAGAATATTGCACAATAGCATGCACTCATCTACTATTTAGGTTATGTAATTGGATAACACATGTAATTGGGTTAAGTTTTTTTTCCACCAAATCTAAGCCAAACATTTTATTTCATTAAAACAACACATAATTTAAAGTATTCTCTCATTGCCTTCTTAAAATATACAATCTCAATCGTAAAAAAACAAATCAATAAAAGACAAAGATGTAAACAAATATCTTCATTTGTTTTACGCACATTACAAATGCAACATATAGAATTGTAAATTTCTTTTTGTTGAAAGAAAACAAAAAAAAATCTAATACGAGCTCCAACCAACTTGTAAGCCACGCCACCCCTTCAACAACCCAATTACATCACCAAGTGTATGACATTATTTGTTGACATGTAGGCACCAAACAATCACAATCCCATTAATGTAACCGTCCATCCATCCATCCATCCTTCTCCCTTGACACCGTGTGGACATGTTGACTGTTTCTACGACAGTTGCCGGTGGAAGCATGTCGGTGAAACACCCACTTGATCATCATCTTCATCGTCTTCGTTCATGAAAGAAATGCAGTCATGCTCAGGCACACATATGCATGGGAGCGCAGACGGTGTGTCCATGATGAACCGCTTGACTTAGTAGCAATCCCTCGGTGGGCCCTGTGTGATCCCCAGTGCTCTTCGGAGGTGGACAATGAGTGCGTCCTGAGGAAAAGTTTTATCGTGACCAAACCGACACCACACTGCTGTCTCTTATTTTTATTTTTCTTCGGGTTCGAAGTTCTGGAATGTACTGCAGGATGTTGGTTCGACTGCTGCTTCATGGCAATGGTCTAAGGTTATTACACTGTCTCCATCTGCCTCAACAGCTGATGGTGAATTGTATAGTGTGCAGATTCAGATGAACAAGAAGCACAGATAGGGAGGTTCACCTGACGTGGCCGGTTTGTTCCAGTATGGGAATCCATGCTTCCACTCTTTCGAACTTGGAAGCTCTTCGAATTTTAAGAAATAGGCGCCGGAAACATAAGATACCTCCTCCATTGAGAAACAAAACAGAAATAATTTTGAAGTCCTATGGACACCAATAGAATTACCCATAGGGTTCTTCACTAAAAAGAGTTTCTCAATGAAATATAAGAAAAAACCTACTCATCTACAAATGCTGCGTTTCATATAGTACATAGCCTAACTTGGAATCTTTTGACCGACGAAACTGATAGGATAGGGGTTCAACCCTTTCTTCTCAGAGTAAGAAATATTCTGTTTTTCAATAATTATACACCGAAAGTGTCTCCATATTGAAGTGAGACGTTCAACTTCTCTCGTTTCCGATGAAGCTTCACCTCAACCTTCGCGAACTATACTTGAAATCACTTCCAAGTCGTCAAACTCAAATTGGTGTGAAGTTACTACCGTTTCTGAAAATTGAAGATTTTGATGCAAGTCGCGAAAACAAGGCCGAAGAGCAACACTAAGCCAATATGCCAAACGGCAACATACGGTAAGAAACTCCGTTCAAAACCAAAATAACCCTTTAAATAATCTCGAACCACGACCTGTCTACCATTGGCCTCCATTGTGCTGGAAACATCGCCTAGCTGGGAGCCGATTAAACCATAAAGCGTCCACGCAGTTGGTGTGATCCAGTAGTACCATACCCAATATACAGGTAATTGCTGCACAAAAGCAATTATAAAGACACGTCAGTAATCCTACACATCGAAGCAAAAATGATGACAGAATCAACCACGCATCAAATATAGCGCCTCAACTCGGCTAGAGAGGCAGACGACAAAAGTTACTTGGATTAGATGAATGGATGGGAGCAGTGGCGACTTACCGGACGGGGAATCAAGAACCCGGAGAACAAGTTCCAAAGCCCGTAGAAGGCAGACGAGATGATGGCCGCAAACTGGGCGTTCGGAGTGATGGCAACCGTGACCATTCCCCAGTATGTAAAGTACAGGAGGGTCAAGTACATGAAGAAAATGAAGTAGAAGAATTTAGCGGCAGTCCACTCGAACTGAATCATTGAGTACACAATCAGTCCATATATCATGGACTGGACGAAAACGTACGGCCATTCTATGGTCACCTGGCAATAAAAGTTTCACACAGTTAAGAACTCTGTTGGGGTTTTCAGGTTCCACATGGAAAATCTAGCAGGGTGTGAGCATGGAAGGCAGGCAAGCGTGGTACAATGAAAGATTTAATTTCATTACAAAGAACCGATTTCGTGGTTGAAGTCGGTACCTGAGCAAAAGAATATGGAAACGTGGAGTACATTCCAGCAGCACGCTCCCTGTAGAAAACTATGCGCTCTACTGCAACCACTGGTTGGACTCCAGAACAGTTATTGATACCCACAAACAAGACGGCGGCGTACATGGCTCCCATTAGGTTGAAGAGGTCCTGCTGCGTTGTTCTGCATCCACGAAAGAGGTAGAGGGTGACAATTCAGGCAGATTAGGTACAGAATCTAGCGCTATGTTTACTGACATATGATTGTAGAAGAACACATGGTAGAGTTAGATGACTGATCTACCTGTTGTTGCCCAATCCCCAAAAAATGCTTCCCAAAATAACGCCACACAAGGTGGTGAACAGTAACCGGACGACATTGTAAAGTGGGTTCCGCCAGTAAGATCTGTGCTGCTTCCACAAACAGGCCATGCATTGCTCCCACAGAGGCTGCGCATACTTCGTTGGAAAAGAAATATCCTTAGACCCCGGCGCAGAAATGCTCAGCTCATTGATTATGGTCTCGTTTCGTCTGTAATCATCACGAAAGCAACAATGAATGAGTCGGCGTCTTGAGGAAGGATTGGTAACTCATCAAATATGGAACTCAATCGCTATTTAACTAGACACGTGTATTGAAAAATTGCTACTCACTGATAAAGTGAAGAACTGGCGTAAATCTGGGCGAAGTCCACTCCAAGGTTACGCTCCGAGCTTTGAGAGGTAACATCAAGCATCCACGTAGACGGATTAAATCCATCCTTTATAGGAGGAACACCTGGTACTGCCTGGAAGTAATCCACCAGCTTGCAAGACCTGTCGCCCAAAGGACCCGCATAGATAACCTGCCCGCCTCTCTTCAACAAAAGCAGCTCATCAAAAGCCTCAAAAATGTCAATACTAGGTTGATGGATGGTGCACACAACAGTGCGACCAGTATCAACTGTATTTCGGACAGTCCGCATCACAATCGCAGCAGCTCGCGCATCTAACCCTGACGTGGGCTCATCCATGAAAATTATAGATGGATTAGCCACAAGCTCCACTGCAATTGTCAATCGCTTCCTAGCCTCCGTCGACAAGCCGGTTACTCCAGGGAGGCCTACAAGAGCCGATCTAGAGGGACTGAGCTCCACCAGCTCCATCACCTCTTCAACAAACGCCTGCAGATGAATCGTGTAACACAGTAAGCGATAGAGTTGTTAAGGCGATCATCGGAATCAACTGACACATCTACAATACATACATATCCACACACAAGGTGCACCGATGTATATGCACCTCTCGCACTGACTTGCTGACGTCCTTGGAGAGACGAAGCCAAGCTGAGTACATGAGAGCCTCGTGAACCGTGACGTTCGGAGAGTGAATGTCGAACTGCTCGCAGTATCCAGAGATTCGAGCAAACGTTGCCTGCTTTTTGGGATACCCGTTGATGAAGATGTCGCCTTCAATGTAGCCACTTGTCTTCCTTCCTGCTAAAACGTCCATGAGGGTGGTCTTTCCGGCGCCGCTGACGCCGACTAAGGCTGTCAGGATGCCGGGTCGGAACGCCCCACTGATGTCGTTCAGCAGCTGCAGTCTATTCTCTGTGATACCTTGGGCTTTCATTTCCTGCGCATTCTCAGCCATTCAAGTGGAATCAGGGACGAGTTCTTTTTCCTCGCATTTACTGGTATCATTCGTGGTACATAGATGGAATTCTTAGACAAATGTTTTTAACTACTTGTGTGCATTATCACAAGAGGTGAGAATGCAGATAAGTATGTTGAAGAACCCTTTGAAATGTGAACATAGTCTGCTTGAAAAAATCTTTAAACGTCTTGAATTTCAAATGTGAACATAGTCTGCTTGAAAAAATCTTTAAACGTCTTGAATTTCAAATTGCTCATGACTATTGTGTATCGCAAGACGGTCGATCGACTTTTCAAGCAGCTTTCCTATAGATTGTGCACTAGTGGCCATTCACAAGGTGGTTAGTTTCACTTACAGGGGGCATGTCGATGTAATATTTGATGTGGTGGAAGGCAATGGATAACGGGGTGAACGGCAACACCATCCCTCGTCTGGGTGCTACACCCTTGGCCTCCATCATCGCTTGCTCGTAAGTATTCCCGGAGCGAGACCCAGACGACCGCGATCCAGAAGACCGAGCTCCCCATGACCGGGACATTGATTTAGACAGACGTGAAGGTCTACTACCAACTGTGCCGTTCTGATCGCGGCTGACATCCGAACGCCGAGATGGAGATAGTATCCCGCTCAAAGCCTCGCCATTGTGATGAGGATGTACTTCGCCAGTTCGGTTGGCGTCCTTTTCTTCAAGGGCTTCTTTGGATAGCGTGGTGTTCGGCTTACCCAGAGCTGTGACATTCGACGGAAAGGGGAAAAATTTAATTAAAAACAAACGCCGCCATATCCCATCAGTTGGTTGAATCAACCATCCAAGTAATTCCAATAATTACGCAATCGCTTGTAAAAAGTAAAAGAATGAAAAATGAATTGGAATGGTCGGAGGTCGGGGTTGCTCTTACGGTTGAGAGCCTTGAGGAAGAAGCAGTAGAGCAGGTTGAAGAGGATGGAGTATCCAAGGAGAACAGTCACTCCAATCCAATACCACTTTCCATCTGCAAATAACCCGCGGCTCAGTAACACTTGTCTTCCCAAAGTTAACGCGTTACTAGCTGGTCCTTGAGCCGGTGGCTGGAAAGCAAAGCACAGCAATCAGTTATTTTGGCGATTGAGGAACCAAGTAATGCAAATTCAACATCAAAACAATAATCATGGAAATGTTAGAAATGACACAGTACCTTGTTCCATCTATCTGCTAGAAACTCGTTGACGGCTATGGCGTTCTGTGCGTATGAGAGTGGCGAGATCCAAAAGCCCCAGATCCACCAAGGGTGGATATTCTCCCGAGAGATGATGAACCCTCCCAGTACGAACACCACTATAATGGCAAACGCTCCACCAGTTTGTGCCACGATCATCATCCGCGTCACGGAACCGATCAGTCGGAACAGCCCGAGCGCCATCTGGTGCATGGCAAATAGCACCAGCCAGTGGCGGAAGAACCGGCCCGGCTCCGGGGCGAAACCGATTGTGAAGTACGTGAGGCAGATCCATATGAAGGACTCGTAGAACGACAGTGGCAGCCTAAGGAGGTATGTGGGGAGAACGAGAGCCCACGGAGGATAAAACAGCAGGTCGCGCTGCTTGTAAAACACGGGTAGACGCTGGATGGTGAGCGCCATTTCAGCGAACCCATTGAACATCATGTTGATGAGGGCGAAGAAGAGCGCACCCAAGTAGAAGCCGCCGTCACCGAGCGAATTAGGCTCCAGCGTAGTCCTGAAGAACACAGACATCGTGATCAAGGCCACAAGACTTGTCTGCACGGATTTGAAGATGTAGATGGCCTTGTTGCGCTTCATGAGCAGCTTCTCCCGCTCCAAGCATGCTTGGAATAGCTCCCAGTTGCTGAGAGCGTAGCGTTCATGGACAAGAGCAGCGGGATGGCTCTTGGATCGGTCAAACGGGGTGGCGAGTTCCTCAGAGAGCCTCTCCCCGACGTGGAACTTGGGGTAGGCTTCGGCGAATTGGTTCACCGAAACGTATTGGTAGGGCTTGGATTTGTCATACCAGTACTGTCCCTGGTCCTTTCGGGATGTCACCTCTTGTAAGAAATCAGCCACGCCTTTGCGCTCTGGGCACCGGAACCCCATGCTCTCGAAGAAGTCCACGATGAGGTCACGCGGGCCTTGATACACAATCTGCCCCTCCGAAAGCAGAATGACGTCGTCAAATAGCTCAAAGGTCTCCGGAGCGGGCTGGAGGAGGGAGACCAGCATTGTGCCGTCGAGTACGTGCACCGACTGGCGCAAGCACTTGACGATCTGATACGTTGTGGAACTGTCCAGACCAGTGGAAATTTCGTCCATGAAAAGCGCTTTCGCAGGTCCCACGAGCATTTCTCCCGTGTTCACTCTCTTCTTTTGGCCTCCAGAAATGCCTCGCCGCATGTCATCTCCCACCAGTGTATCCGCACAGATATCCAGATCCAAGATCTTCAGAATGTAATCTGTCATGAGACTTGTTCCTTGGCCTCGTAGCGCTGTGGCCTGCAGAGACATGGTGGTTACCCTCCATATTTGAGCATGATCATAAAAATGAAAATAAATGATTAAAAAAAAACAATAAACGAATTCTCGCATACAAGTCTATAATGTCATCCAATCGATAAGTTCGCCAATCTAAATTGTAAGAATTTGAAGGAATCACCGACCTTCATGAAGACGTCCATGTCTGCGTCGGGTTTGATACCGAGCTCCTTCTCTCTTCTTGAGAGCTCCATGAGCATTTCTGTTTCAAAAACCAATTGCAAATCCTATATGATGCTGGTACCTCGACTTCCTCACAACATGTTCTCCAAGAGAGACCCAAAGCCAAGTGAAGCTTTTCAAGCAATCACACATTCCGACATAGCTAGAGCAAATGCAGGCACATTTAGCACGTTTACGTATTGAAAGGATTCAGCTTCAGTGGTAATTTATTATGGTCGTAGCGATACTTCTTACTTCTTCCCGGTTCCAAAAAAATTATTTAAGTGGTGGTGAAGAAAATGCTTACCAAATCGAGGACCAATGCCCTGACATCGGCCGGAAAAGTCCAGCGTTTCGCGAACTGTCAATTCTCCCATTTGGAGATCGCGCTGGCTAATGTAAGCGCACGTCCTCTCCGGCACAAATTCATGCATTTCATGGCCGTTATAAGTAACCTTCCCTGAAACCTCGAGGGCTTTGTCCAACTTGGCAGCCAGCGCTAGCAGCAAGCTTGTCTTTCCAGAGCCTGGTGGGCCAAGAAGCAAGGTCATTCTGTGACAATCGATAACGAATTGGTCAGTGGACAATAAGAGTCAGATCACTAATAAATGTAATCTTGAGGGTCACATTTGAAAGCATTCCCACGAACCTCGAAGGCTTGAGGATGCCGCTGACATCGTGCAAAATATTGAGCCTTTTCTTCTTGGATGGCGAAAGATGGATCTTACTCAATAATGTCTCGAGGAGGGTCAACAGGAAATTTGGAAGAGTTGGCAACGCTCGGCTGCCAACATAAACGTCCGCTTCGACATTCAAATGCTCAAACCGCACCTCGATTTTGGGAAGAACAATACCCACCCTGAAATATTCGGATCGAGGGCTCTTAGTAAAACACATAAACTCACAGCTAATTTGACTCAGGATTGCGAAGGAGAAGGGTAAGGTGGGGGAGGGAGAGAGAATGAGCGCGAGATTTCGGTCGCACCTGTCTATACGCTCTCGGAATTTGAGAAGAAAGCGCTCATTGTCCTCCTCAGTGACGCGCAACAGCTTGGAGATGATTTGCTGTCGATCCTCGTAGCTCAAGTTTCGCACGTCGACCTCCGCCTGCGACGTCTTCCCATCCGCGTCAATGGTTTTCATGATGGCCGTGCGCATCCGATCGTAGGTCGGAAGCTTCTGGAGGGCCGCCCATTTTAGTGATTCCTCGTCGTCCTCTTCTTTTCTCTGAGTCGATGAGCGAGAGAATACATTCTCCCGCGTGGAATTGGGCTTGTCCAAAAGAACTGAAGGATCCATCTCGTCGTTATACCTCTTCTAGTGATCCTAATTTGAATTCATGTAAAATTCTTCATAATGAGATCACAAAGCAATTCATTCGGCCATTTCTCCCTGATACAGCACCACTCGAGTCTGATTGCCTTGGAATTTGTAGCGTGGGATCAACGAGTCGAGCACATTGGCTTCCATCGTCTTCATAATCTAAGGGAAGGGAGGAAGGATCGAACTGCGTTAGGAACATAGTTGTATCATCTTGAGTAGGGATCCATCCCTGCCCGACTCAAATGCAATTACAACACAGTTGGAGCTAATATGCCTCAGCGACAAAGATGGGCTCTCTCTTGTAGAAACTCGAACAATCCACCCCAAGTCAGGTCAAGGCAAACAATGATGCACAATAACCAAATGAGTCTTTGGCACACAAAATTCTCAGTCGAACTTGGGAAGTGATCCTGAGAGAATGAACTGCTACACAATTATTACCCGCCCAAGAGAGGAATGAAATTTTTTCGGGGACCTTCCAAGGAAACTACTCGGTGTCGAATTCCCAAAACTTTTTCAACTGACAGTCTGAAATTCACTGTAACCACAATCGGCACCTGGTACAATCCATTTTATAGACTTGAAAATCCATCTCAAAAACCAACTTCGGAATTATATTGAACGATTTTCATATTTACCAAGACTTTACTTCTTAGCATTAAATCTAGTGTTCAGGTTCTGAGATAAAGAGCCCGGGACCTTAGCGATGGTACCAACTGTGGTGAAACACATGAGACGTGCCTTGAAAGACACTTTGTCCAATCACACGACCCTGCCCGCACCCAGGAAGTAGCAATTCAATAGACTGAATTCGACGGCGGAAATGAACTGGTAACGCTTCAGATATTTATTACTAACAGTGCAGTGCTGAGAGAGAATTCTGCAACTGTACCGACCATTGACATTCCTTCGCTGAGGTTCCGTCACTACACACGAGGAAGGTGCTACTCGAACACCTAGAAGCTCCCAACTTCAAACCCACAAACCATAGATTCTTGACAATTAATCTGATGCATCAAACAGTGGCTCCATTTTTTGTTTCATTTTCTAGCTTGTCTGAGAATTTATTAAAGCCCCACCAGGAAAAATTTCAAATGAGACAATAGATCTGCTTCTTCAGTTACAACTCCCTCTGAAGGACAGCGAGAGCGGTAGGCTCGAAATTTCGAAGCTGGAAAAATTCCGACAAACGAACCAACCTCGTCGATAGTAGACGCGACCCCAAAACCTCCACAACCCCTTCACACCGATTGCCAAAACTCGGAACGTCTCGACCTTCCGAGGCTTCCCGAGAGAATAAAACCGAATCAACCCTCGAAACAATGGCCTGTCCGTCATGACAACCCGTTGCTCACGAAACGACTGCCAGGGTCGACAATCTTACCTGCTAGCGGGGGCCCGCGCGCCGCAACCGAACAGTGACTGATCAGGCCCACAGGAATAGAGAGAATCCCCGTGCAGCTCCAATACACCAAGGCAATCCGATTCCAATCGCAACCTGACGGCTTGCTTCAAGTCAAGCTCCAGGGACGATCACCGTCAGCAGCACAATCCTACGGTGCTTTCGAAGACCTCGGCAACCTTTATGCGTCCAATTCCCCAAAGCGTGTCTCCTTCCCCCATTGTGTCAAACCCCTCTGACATCTTCACTGATCGATATAGGAAATCTTTCAGATCGCAGACAGAATAACAGTGAGATCGTGCACAACGGCCAGGCCAGTGGATTTCCATTCTCCTGCCAGATCTTCGAAGCAACAATATTCTTCTTTCCAAAACATACGCGCACACACTAAACAAAGCAACACCAAACCCATTTGCTTTTTTTGAATTTCCAGCCGCGTAACTTTCTGTGATAACTAGAATGTTCCTCTGTGAACTTGCACCGTGCAACTAACACCAGCCACTGCTTTTGCGGGATCCTCGTTCTTTCGCGTAAGTGACAAAAAAAAAAAAAAAAAAAAAAAAAAACTTGCAGACGAATAAGTAGCTGAGTTTGCTTGCTTGTTGTTGTGTTACCAGTGTTGCAAGTGAAAATCCTATTTTCGATGCTGCTTCCGCAGTGACTGCCGAAGAGCATTTCACTTCGGGTGTGGATGGGGCCTAAAGTGGATCAATTCGATGGCTTTTGGTTGACTTGAACCCGGTTTTTACTGTGGGCTCTATGAGTTTTCTTGCAGAACCTTCTCCAATCTTAAAATTATTTTATTATTATTACTGTTCTCATCGTTTCTAATTTCTCTTTGTCTTCTTCACTGACACGTGGACATGTGTGTGAGATTTCTTGGTTGCTTTCCTGGAAGCCTGTGGTCAACTTCCAAGAGCACAGATCCTCATGCTTTGTTTGTTTTTTTGTTTGTTTGAGAGTTCGGCAATTTGATGCTTTTGTTGTGTAACATTGAGATTCATTCCACTCCACGATGATTGATAAGGTTCCTCTTTTTGGAATCCTGTACACATGAAAAGAACACACTGTAGAATTCATTGTATGTTGAGATTAGAAGGAAATACCATGTTGAAAAAATGAATATGTTAAGAATAATAGTCGAATTATAATTTTAATTTTAAATGATAACAATGAAAAAATGTGCTTGTTAGCACTAAAATGTGATTAGCCAGTCATGGTGGTGGTAAAATGTGTTCAGGTTAAATTGGATGATTTGAGCAAGGTATGTTTGTACATGATAATTATTTTTTCAACTGTTTTTGCAATGATGCCTTTGATGAGTGTATAATGTAGGAACTCTGACCATGTATGTTCATGATAGATGTCATTTTTACAAAAGTAAAACATTGGAAGAATGTCTTTATGCCTGTTAGTTGCTGTTTTGTTTTGTTATGTTTTTTTTACAATTGCATTTACTGTTACCTCTTTTTTTTGATATGATAATGGTAAAAAAAAAAAAAAAAAAAAAAAAAAATCCATTTCCTTCAGTTCATTAATTTCTGTCCTAAAATCAATCATGAATTTTGTGATATAGCCTTTAGGGATAGAAAAACTTGTCTCACAAAATAAAGATATGTATCACAAGCAATTGAATGTGTGTATATGCATATGTATATTTGTGTGTGTGTGTGTGTGTGTGTATATGAATATATGTATATATATATATATATATATATATTTGTGTATATGTGTTTATACGCATATGTATATTTGTGTGTGTGTGTGTGTGTCTTTATATGCACATGTGTATTTGTGTGTGTGTGTACATGCATATGTATATTTGTGTGTGTGTGTGTGTATATATATGCATATATATATATATATATATATATATGTGTGTATGTATATATGCATATATGTATATATATATATATATATATATATATTTGTGGGTGTGTGTGTTTATATGCAAATGTATATTTGTGTGTATGTGTGTGTGTCTTTATATGCACATGTGTATTTGGGTGTGTGTGTATATGCATATGTATATTTGTGTGTGTGTGTGTGT